ACAATAAAACAATGCAGGGAGAATAAACCATGAGGGGCGCTGCCCCGAGTGGTTTATTCTCCCTGCAGTGTTTTATTGTACGATAAACAACGACCGCGAGTCGTCTCTTTCTTATATGAGATATCAACATTATGTACAGCCTCTTTAAGGATGTTGATAAAATGCGCAAGCTTTAAAATATTTACCTTAATATTAATAATGAAGACTCCCTGAATAGAATCCGACCTCGTCAATGTCGGACAAGTCTATTTTATGAATAGGTGGGTTAGGTTTTGTACGCATTTTCTGACAATCCTCACGTCGATTATTTGTACCTTTTCTCCTGATACCAATTGTCATATCGCTCCTAATTTTGAATGCGATTTGATTTTCGATTGCCACTTCGGTTATCTGCGTACCCCAGCTACATCTATGAGGAACAACTCACTAGACACTTCACTCTAAAAATAACGTCGACCAATATATGCATATTCGAATTGCCAGAAATGACGTCATGATAGAATTTTTTTGTATCGTGAAATAAACCACGCTTCGTTATTTGCGATTTATCGTGTAGCTATCTTGTATCACAGATTATAACAGCGAGTGTGTACGTGTTTGTCTGAACCGTTCCCGAGCAAGTCATAGTATGTATATTACCCACACCTTATAAGGATGCTGCAGAGAAGTAGGGAGTAGTCCCTGCAGCAGTGCAACATGCCGTCAACAATGTGTTCTGGCGTCATCTTTATTGTGACGCGCAAATCAATGTGTCAACAATGCTGTATGTTTTAATAGAGATTTTTTATACGACATACTGGTATGTGTCATACTGATGTTACGAAACTAGGGTAATACACAATTCTTACACGAGTTTCGTACAATCAGTATGACACGCATGTCGGCGTAATAATTTCTTTATTACCAATTCTACCGTGAATTTTGAATTTACTCGATTCTGATTGGTCAATCAGAGGCTATTAAATCACAATAAACCCCCTCTGATTGAAACAGCTGGTTTGACGGCCGCATCACCGCGGAAGCTAATATTAATAGAATAGTACTATTTTCAGTCATTGTCGCGTTCGGTTCCAAATTCAATTTAGCGGGGTTAAATCTACAGGTAACCTAGCTCTACATTGAAAACACAGTATCTTTATCTCCTAATTATTTCTTGATCCCATTGAGCTCTCTCTCCTTTAAAAAAAAAACGTACCGATCAAAACTACAATTGTCGAATGACGTTAACAATATTCAGCTCACTCTCCTACCCAGAGTTCCATGCGGCCGGCAGCCAGCTAGCATTGTACCTCTGCCACAGGCCAGCGCCATGTGACGATTCGTCACATCTTTCACAGTCCATTCAAGATATTGCATATGCTTTTCATCCGTTTCATGTTTGACAAGTTTACACATTTTCATAAACAAATGTCAAAGAATGGTTAACTTTCATTGAGAAAGTATGCAAATACGTAAAAATCTACTTGTTTTTGCGTAGTTATCCTATGTTTACATTGGTTGTACGGCTCCACGTGCTGTCATCGAAGCCCAACGGAGAGCTAGCGACACGGTCACTTTGATGCATAAATATATATTGTCATGCAACTCACTGTCGAAGTTGTAGTAGCATATCTATATAGTTATGCAAAACAATATGTAAAGCGCCCCGAAATACTTGCATTAGTCCGATCTATACTGATTTCTGAAAAAAGCGCGTTTGTTTAAAAACAAGAGAAAAAGTCCGGTCACGTGATATGCAAATTAGCCTGTGGCAGTGGTGTTATGCTGAGTCACCACTGCGACGGTGTGTGTGTATTCAGCTATGACGTCGTTTCTAGTGTGACGTCATTCCGACCTTACATCACAATAAGATTCGAATGACGTCAACAATGTCGTTCGGATGACGGAAACAATCCACTGGTGCGCGGTGAAATGATATTTGCACTTGCGCACCAACGAATTTAATTAACTCGGTTATTTCTAACCCTACGGGTAATAATGTCAACAACGGCCCTGACATAACGTCAACAATGCTTTTGATGCGCGTGAGGTATTATACATGTGCTTCATATGCTTGTTTATCCTATAATGGATAATGTTATCGATCTGACAAACCAATCTGATAAAGTGGATGTCACGATCCGATGCGATGCCTTCGTGCTCGGTAAACTATTGTATATCATTCGAGACAAGTTTAATTTGAGGTTTGTTTTGTCATGGGACTGCTTCTGTAAACAAACGTCGCTTCAAAATATTTGGCACTATATGACAAACCGGTCGGTTTACTCATTGCAGTCATACGCGATTCCTACAGTGAAAGACCTTCTCCGTGGTATAGTGGATAGAGCGTCTGCCTTGAGAGAAGAGGATGGGTGGTTCGATCCCTGGCCGCGTCATATCAACATACGTTAAAAGATGTTTAACGCCGCAAACAGCAATATTCCAGCTATGTGACGGCGGTCTGTAAATAGTCGAGTCCGGATCCGACAATACAGTGATTAACATCATGAGCATCGGTCCACGCAATTGGGATACGATGACATGCATCAACCAAGTCAGCGAGCCTGACCACCCGATCTCGTTAGTCGCCTCTTACGACAAGCATAGTCGCCTGTTAAACCCCATTTCACCTCCAACAGTGAAATGAAATACCTCTGAATCTTCAATCGTTTTTAAAATGACATTTTATTTATACTAGATTAAAATAGGCCAAGGGACCGCATAATTCCAATTTAAGTCCTAATGTATGATATTTACGATACGAACATACTCTCACGAATAATGTTTACCATCTCAACACTCTCCGGTGTGATATGAAACCGCTTCGTCATTCTTGAATTTCTCGTTTAAAAAAAACAATCCGTTTCTCATCTCTCATAAACAGTGCCTCATAAACAGTTTTCCTGAATAATGCGTATTAATAGATAACGTCAGGCCATTTATTCGTCAATCGGGTAATGACAACAGTCAATATCGTTCTAACTGAAACCGGGGCGGGTCGGGTAGCCTAGTGGTTAAAGCGTTCGCTCGTCACGCCGAAGACTCGGGTTCGATTTCCGACATGGGTACAACGTGTGAAGCCCATTTCTGGTGTCCCCCGCCGTGATATTGCTGGAATACTGCTAAAAGCGGCGTAAAGCCATACTCACTCACTCTAACTGAAACCTGTTTTTTTAGACAGTGGGGTAACTACCTATTTAAGAAATAAACAACGAATGGGAGTTGTTTATCGTTATAAGGTTCCGGAATTTTGTCGCGCAGCTATCTTATATAAAATATTATGTTTTCTTATAAATTAGAAGAACCATTTTCCACATGTTGTTCAAATACTTTAAAAGGGTAATGCTATCAAGTATGCATTTTTTGTCATGTGTTGTCGCGGTGGTCGTCTAAAACATCACATTACGCTGTGCAGAAGTACGTCCATTTCGAGCGCCAGTAACCAATTACATACTTTTCAAATCCCAGATTCGCTCTGATAATGTTTATTAAGCACTAGCCATTGAATTAAGTACACTCGATTGTCCAGTATTCTAATTATGTGTATGATAAACATGATAATCTACAGTATCGTGACCTAAAAGCCAATCAGTTGACAATATCTACACTTACAAATTCAATGACACTCATCTTATTTAATAACCCTACTGTCACCGACTATTTCTTAACCTGGGCTTGTTACTAGTGACATAAAGGCAACCCTCACCACCCCTTCCCAACCCAACCCGACCCTAGGGCAGGTATAGGCTGTGATCTGTGACGCTTTACGAAACAATCATACCACAGCTGGAAGTTGTAAAGCCGTACGCTAAGTTAGCAGGGGTAATCTGGAGATCAGAACCCACCGAAACAACAGCTCCAGTATGTAAACCATAGTACCATGTACACAACAAGTCATAACCCATACGGCTTGAAGAAAACTCCACAGGTGTTCGCTGATAGTTGAACTCGTAAAGTCGCTTTGCATGCGTTGGATCTTCAGTCGTGGTGTTACTGTATGTGTGGCGATATCAGTGAGTACGTTGTCTTCTTCGTACATATATACATCACACTACACTGTCGATCGATAATGGTGATTTCAGTCACAATTAAGTAGGCATGTAACATGCACTCTTCACGGACGTCTGATATGACATATGCTTTTGACGGGTCTCTTAAATATCATGAATATAGTATATACCGTAGATGTGTCGTGCGGTTGCGCTGATGGTTACGTTTATGCATGACGGTGGCTGACATCTGCAGGGAACTACTGCACTTGCATAGTACTGACATATTTCCGTATTTGTTTAGTAGTGGGTGAGTATTGTTTTATGCCGCCTTTAGCAATATTCCAGATATGGGCTTCACACATTGTACCCATGTGGGTGGGTAATCGAACCCGGGCCTTCGGCGTGACGAGCGGACGCTTTAACCACTAGGCTACCCCACCACCCCTATGATTATGATAATGAGGGGAAATAACACACACAATAACGTCTTCATGGCCTATCCATGAAGATAGCCATAGGGATGAAGTCCGGTAGTAACTGGGGAGTACTTCTTCCTTACCTGGGGGTGAGTAATAGATGAAGAACAACGTGACAGGGCCGAGTGTGTAGTATGTTAGATCATGCGTGCAGATGTATGACAGGTACGTCATTGACAGTTCAGTTATGATAAATTTAAGTTATCTCTACTACCACTAGGGCACTAGTGGTAAACTGAAGATCCGTAAAGATCCTGGTTAGAATTGGTCTTCAGCAACAGCGACTATGCTTGTCGTAAGAGGCGACTAACGGGATCGGGTAGTCAGGCTCGCGGACTCGGTTGATGCAGGTCATCGTATCCAAGTTGCGTATAGCTCGATACTCATGATGTCAATCACTGGATTGTCCGGTCCAGACTCGATTATTTTTAGACCGACGTTTTATAGCAGGAATATTGCTGATTGCGGCATTAAACAACAAAAAAATAAATAAAAAAATATATGAAAGCCTGACCCCAACATCCTCTCCCTGACCCCAGGTTTAACCTTACAGCAGCAGCGGTGGCATCCTCCAACAGCGACAACGGGATGCACCAGTACCTCAATGGCTCCACAGTCACGTGCAAGTACTCAGCGGAATTCCGTGGTTTGGTCTATAAGGTCAACCCGCATGACTTGTCGTGCGTGTACAAGCGCATGTTCGAGATGTGCGCCACGAACGCACTGCGCGACCTTGGGGTAAATGAGTGGCTTTACAAAATGGCGACGGATTTTGGAGTGCCAGAGCGGATATGTGCGTCACCGGTGGAAACGGAGAAGCGTCATGTGGCGTCAAGAGTATCATTGATGCAGAGCAACTTAGTGGGCGTTCCCATCTTTTATCCTGCCGAGGCCAACAAAGAAACGAAAGTAGGTATTCGCCCACAGGAACAGAAAGCGTATCATAAATATACAATGAATGCTCTGACATGATTTTTTGGTTTGTTGTTTAACGCCGCACTCAGCAATATTCCAGCTATATGACGGCGGTCTGTAAATAATCGAGTGATTGATATCATGACGTCGATCCACGCAATTTCTGACATGAGTTCAGGTATTTTACTGATGATTTTAACGCACGTTACCCAGATCAGAACCCCCACTACAGGACGTCGTCATACTTCCGTTTTGGGGTTCAGTCACTCATTAAACTATTTTTGTTTCTCCTTTTCAGACTCTCCCGTTTTGTTTTGTTTTTATAGTTTTGTGAGATATAGTGAGAGGTCCATGCTCATTATCTGATTTGCTGCAGGAGTGAGTGAGTGAGTGAGTTGGGTTTTAACGCCGCTTTTAACAGTATTCCAGTTATATCACGGCGTGTCAGCTTTATGTGGGAGGAAAGCCCGAAGTGATGCAGGTCTCAGACGTTTACCACTTCGGTGAAACCCACAAGCACGGGTATGGTGCTGACAAACCTAGAAACATAATCGGGGCGTACCGGGATTCGAACCCACAATCATAGGTTTCTGGCGTGCCAAAGGGACGCAACTCTGAACAGCGACTCGCGGAGCTTTAGACGACTGGGTCACCCGTGCCCCCGATTTGCTGCAGGAGTAACTGGTTACCCAGCAACATATTTGCATTTTGTTGCCCGTTATTATAATACCACGATGAGACGTGAGGTCACAAACAAATGCTGAATCAAACATGCAAGGACTGTCAATTTGCCCGAACAGTGACGCCAATTAACGCAGGGTTCTTAACGTCAGCAATTGTGAGTTGAGTTATATAACTATGCTCGTGTGTGTTTATGTTTCCAGCATATACAGGGATGGCAGACCTGCCAACAAACTCATTCTTCCTCCTCGTTGCCCGAGCACCGCCCAATGGTGGCGAACCTCTCCAAAAAGGAGAAACATCGCAGCCAATCTGCACTGGGAAAACTCGAATGCGGCGGGAAAGATGAACGCCCCCGCCCCGTTCGTGCTAATAGCGTGCAGTGTAGGAAAGCCATGTCGTCCGAGGTGATCAGCAATAAACAAGAAACCCCCCAAAACCTGAACACCCACACCTTCACCCTTGGAACCACGCCACAGATCAGCTACCGGTTCCGTCACCATGACGACCTTGACTGCTACATGGAACAATATAGGTCTGCATGATGTATGTACTCATGTCTTTCTTAGATCAAGCGACATCACAAGACTTTGCTAAAGATTGGAATTGGGATAATAGATGTTCTTGTGTGCAACTGTTTAAATGAGATCACACAGATTATATGATGCCCTAAATAGTTTATGTTTCATCACTTGTAGGGACCAGTACACATACAAGCGCTTGGCTCTGATAAGACCCAACATGAACGAGATGCGTCCATACCAGATTACCCTCCCTGTACCCCCTCTCCTTCGGTGTTTTGACATGTTTGGGTGTATCCAGCCACCCCCGGGCTGCGGGCCCCGGATGAGCGTCAGTCGCCTTTCGGCCGCCGGTAGCACCCCTACAGGCCGGACCACGCCCAAAATGCAGGCAAAGAAAAAACTGATCAAGGCGTCGATAGGAATAAAGGTCTGGCGTTTCTTTCTTTGTTCCTGATTAACTCCAGTGTTCTTGTTTCATAGACCAAGATTTTCTCTTGATATTACTGACATTAGAATGACGTTTTAAAAAAGACCCTGAGTCTCGATCCACACGGTGACATTCGCAGCAGCTAAAATATCAAAGTTGAATGAGTCGCAGTCTGGTTTTTTTCACCTGTATTTACAGCATATTTTTCGTCAACAACATGTTGTTTATCTGGTATGACTTTAAATACATGCTTCTGTTTGTTGCATGTGAATGCATGGTGACACGCTCTGTTTCTCCGACTTTAGTCTCCCGAAAGCCGCCCCGAAAGACAGACGTCCAACGTGCTGGCAGCCGAAAACGGCATCCTCAAGATGGAGTTCCAGGGGCAACCACTGCCACATGTTCAGCCGCCTACAACACAAACACTGACCAGCGGCCGGAAGTCTTCCACCAGTGTGTACAGCGACCCCTGTCTGTCGTCTGTCTCTGTCAACAACATCAAAATCCCCATCGTCTGCCGCACCAGGCCCACCATCCCCAGCAACGCCCACGGCACAATCTACGCCTCTTCCACGGAGACCCCGACATACGTTGTCTCTTACCACAAGAACAAATGATGTTTGTGTAATGCCTCGGTGCATCTGTGTTCTCACAGGACGACCTTTTGACACGAGGCTGTATAAGGGGTCTACTGTGGCTGGTCCACGGGCTGTGGCTGTCGCTATACAGTGAGGTTGCCGTGCAGAAATGTGAACTGACAAATACTGCATGGCCACACGTTTGAGCCATTGCCTATGGAAAATACGCGATCAGTTATCAACACGGTGTTAAACCCGCAAGGCATTATCAACTTACTTGATCTCTTATAATCCTCGAACTAACGGTTTGATCCGATTCCCTATACACGTGAGAAGTGGAATTTGCTATAGCTGGTCCAGCATATGTCATCATTCCAAGGTGATGTTTTCCGGGATACTGTGATAGCCATGACGGCGCTCAATATTCCAGCAGGAACCATGACGTGTATGAGACTGTACGTTAATGTATTCTTGCAGTAGTGTGTGTCCCACACAAACATAACAACACGGACCTTGAAGAAGAAACTTTATCTCGGTGTATTGAAGAGATCAGTCGATGTTGACAAACTTTCGTTTTGTCGTAAACACTTGAACGGTGTGATTTTACGTGCGCTTCCAGCTAATGCCCCTGTGACTACCTTGATAAGGGTTATGTTTTTGCAATGTTATATCAATGTGCATTTTGGCACATTTCCAAAAGGCAATCGTAGCTCTGTGAGTCTCACCTTCGAACAATAGATGCATGCAAAAGTCAGGGTGTGGTGTTTATAACTACATTAGGCCACGTCAGTGATCTAGGGGAACATGGGTTTGAACGGTAGTGTAGTTTATCATGAGGTTCCCAGACCGCCTCCGTGGTCTAATGGTAGAGCGTCCGCCCGGAGAGCGGAAGGTCCGGGGTTCGATCCCCAGCCGCGTTGTTGTTACCCTGTCTGACGCTCGGCATTAAGGGGCTAAAACAAGGACTGGTCGGCTCGGAGTCAGTATACTGTGTCTGAGTGGGGTATTCATGTTAAACTGCGGCATGGTATCTCAGTGTGCTAGCACTATAAATCGGCATCAGTCCGGACTGGTACAAGCAGCCACACACACACACACACACACACACACACACTATATATATAAGTGCAATAATCTTGGACGCGACGTTAAGCCCAATTTCACCTCACCTCATCAGGTTCCCAGCAAGATATGGTAGCCGTAAGAGGTGACTTTATGAATCAGCTGATTAGACTAGGTGACTGTTGATGGTGTGTCACCGTACCCCGTCAATCTCTTTCTGAACTCCCAATGTTTGTAGGAAGCCCCAGATGATCCAATGGGTGACCGGGAGCTGCAGGATAAGGAAATGGTCCTTGGTGGAGTGACCACATAATCAGACCACGTCCCAGCTGTGACCTGGCTCATCTAGTGTGCAGTCGTACTCCATTGACGAGGGTCTGGGCTGTCCCAGGCCCAACAACAACGTTTAATAGCGCTTTTCCTCCTACTTAAAACCTCCGTCCAGTTCGCTCTGTAATCTGACCAGACCCAGTCCAGCGATTTAAACGACGGTCAGCTGAGGCTATAATCCCAGCATAAGAAGACTGGTTTCGGCCAGCGGAGAGAGCAATCCCAGTACGCACACAGCGGCGTACGTAATCCCCTTCATCCCTTGATAATCAGTTTTTCCTTGCCGTTTCCGGATGTCCTGCGTTGTATTGTGCGTCATACAGAGTTTGATAGAACGCTATGACCTCAGGCTTACCTTCAGCGCAAATGCTTCAAAATAGACCCTCGATTGAATTGTGAAGGCTTCCTAACTCCTACCGCTGAGACCCTTTGTGCACGGAACAGCCAAGCTGGATCATTTAAGTGCGTGAGTGAGTTGGGTTAACGCCGCTTTTAACAGTATTCCAGTTATATCGCGGCGTGTCAGCTTAATGTGGGAGGAAAGCCCGAAGTGATGCAGGTCTCAGACGTTTACCACCTCGGTGAAACCCACAAGCACGGGTATGGTGCTGACAAACCTAGAAACATAATCGGGTCGAACCGGGATTCGAACCCTCAATCACAGGTTTCTGGTGTGCCCAAGGGACGCAACTCTGCCCCCGGATCATTTAAGAAAACGCGAAGACATTTGTATATAGTTTCATAGACGATCGGACCACAGATGGCAATTTTCAATCCGTCTTACCACCCAGAAGATATACTGTGCAAGTAGCTCACCTCATCACGGGCCCTTTTCAGAAAGAAATCTGAGTGCGTGTAAGTGGATCGGGTGGCCAGGCTCAGCAGCGGCGTGGAATGTTGCTAATATTTATCACTGGATTATCTGGGCCAGATTCGATTATCTACAGCCCGTCAGACAGCTGTAATATTGCGCGTTAAACAAAAAACAAAATATTGACTTACGACCGAATCCCGAGCACGTTTATATATACAGTGAGTGAGTGCGTTTGGGTTTTTAACGCCGCTTTTAACAGTATTCCAGTTTTATCGCAGCGTGTCAGCTTAATGTGGGAGGAAAGGAAGCGCTGCAGGTGTCAGACGTTTACCACTTCGGTGAAACCCACGAGCACGGGTATGGTGCTCACAAACCTAGAAACATCATCTGGACGAACAGGGATTCGAACCCACAATCATAGGTTTCTGGCGTGCCCAAGAGACGCAACTCTGCACAGCGAATCGTGGCGCCTTCGACGACCGTGCCCCCCTTATATATACAGGAGCCACGAGGTGCCTCAGTTCGGCGCACTAGGCAATGTCTAGTATTTAGATGAAAGACCGACCACTCGGCTGGGATTATGATGCTAAAACAGTCAGGGCTGGTCGCTGGTCACGTAATTTCGGACGCTGGTTTGCCTGGTCCAGACTGGCTATCGCCATACAGAGGTGATATTAATCGCTAATAAGTTGTAATTGCATTCAGTCGCTGCCTGTAAGCATTGTATTACTCTATCATTATACACAGGCTGAATGTCGATTTTATTTCTTATATTTCGTTGAATGTGATTTTGAAAGTGTCATATCGCTGCACCCGGAAAAATAAATAGTTCATGGTCGTTCATGGCTTTAGTTTGATGATGTTTCTGGAAATGATCGTCGTAAGCGTTACATTATATAAACTAGAGGCACAGAGGTGCACAAACCCACCTCTTTCTTTTTATAAGCATACTAAACATGATTGTATAGTCGGATCCGGAGCCAACAGTGGTATTCTAACATGGGATCTCAGATTTCACCGCTCATTTTCCAGAAAGCTGTACCCTTGTACAAGTATGTATAGTGTATATGGGGTATGACGTCAACACTGGCAAGCACACAAACATACACATAGACACAACTCGTATATATTACTCACAAGGGTAGAATGAGAGTAAGTTTGGTTTAACGCCGCTTTGAACAGTATTCCAGTTCACGGTGACCCACGAGCATGGGCATGGTGCTGACAAACCTTGAAACATAATAAGGGCGAACCGGGATTTGAACCCACGATCTATGGTTTCTGGCGTGCCCAAGGTACACAACACTGCACAGTGAATTGCGGCGCTTTAGACGACTGGGCCATGCAACGAAAAGGGTAATAGAATAATGTGATGTTTGCATTTAGTGGCTGCTGATAATTGACTTGTAGTATTGAGCTGATGGAGTACGTCCGTGGTGAATAAAGAATAATATGAACATTGGTTATTACTATGTTGAAAATCAGGGTTCACGCCATTCTTGTGTATACATGTGCAATTTCCGCTTATAGTCGGACATTATTGATCACCCTGAGTGATACAAATAGATAGACACACTGGTGTGAAGGCCTTTAAAATGACGAATGACTGTCTTGGCGCGCTGAAGTAGCTGACTAGCGTGGAGACGAATAGCGACGTAAAACATGGGAAGTCTTGGGACTAGTAATGTGTCATGGAGAAGTTGTGGGGAGGGGTAGGGTGCGACCGGAATAGGGAGGGGGTTGTTCTTAAATATAAGATAGCTACGTGATAAAGAACATGATGAGTGGTACATAAAAACATACCAACATTGTTCAATAATGACGTCATCTCTGGAGATTCGAACAGACACTGGCAACTTGGTGACGTCGTAAATTGGACGACGTTATATTTGAGAGGGAAGTGTCTAATGGATGGTTCCCATAGCTGTAGCTGGGCATGGCCGCACGGTCGCATCTAAAAGTGAGAGGGATATGACGACCGGTATTGGGAGAAAAGCTATAGATAATCAGCGTCAATTGTGAGAATATCCGGGGAATACCAAACGTAACCCCCGCTCGCGGACTTGGTTGATGCATGTCATCGTATCCATGTTGCGTAGATCGATGCTCATGATGTCAATCACTAGATTGTCTGGTTCAGACTCGATTATTTACAGACCGCCGTCATATAGCTGGAATATTGCCGAGTGTGGCGTTAAACAACAAACAAACAAACAAAACTTGCCCATTGCTAATCACCCATCAGCGCCAATTAAGTTTGGCTTCCCTTTTCCACCTTTGTTGTTCTTACAGGTAGGTATATATGTTCTCTGCTGGACATCCATATATTCTCGACCTTTAGTGCGTTTGTTTGCAAACAAGGGGAAAGTCCGGTCACGTGACAAGCCTTCACCCGCGGTGTGGTCACTGGAGCAGAGACGAAATAAGGTGAGTAGAGCAGAGACCATGCTTCCTCATCTAGTCCATACGGAGAATCGAACCTAGAATTCTCTGTGACAAGCCGGCGATCTTCCCACTAGGCCACCATGCTCTGGTTCAGCTGGTGTGGCCGAAGCCGCCACTGCTGCCATGATGGCGAAGGTGTTGTAAAATCGATCGCTGTGGCACGAGGAGTCTCGTTACACAACTGTTACGCAACGCCCAGCGAAGCCAGGTGCCAGGTGTGTGCGAGTGTGAGTCTCTATAAATAGGAACATCGTCACTTCTATAGTTAGCCGCCGAGTGGCTTACTGGAGGATGGGATATCCATGTAGAATTGGTTCATGCATCGCGGCTCTGCAATGTTAGAAATAAGTATAGCTGATCCCATATTATCTTTTGTGGTTACTATTGAATTTAATTAAAGACGAACTGTCTTTATTTAAATCGTTTTCATAAATGAAGAAAAAATGACGATGTTCCCTTTAAACGGACATATTCAACATCCCTTGTTCCATCGACGGGGTAAAGTGTCACTCGCTGTATAAGTATAGACTGTTTCCCAGTCTCCACAACACAGAATACGCATCAACCACCGAAAACTAGTCAAACTCGTGACTTGGCATAATGCGCATCGGCTATCACCGCATGGTTAATCCCACATTGCTGTCACCAGCATAGCGAAAACAAGACGTAGCTCCCACAAATAAATCACTGGCTCACCATAGCCTTTGCAGTTGAGGGAACGAGACTTTGCAGGCTACATATATCATGTTTGACTGAATGACGTATACAGATCATGTTTCTACCCTGGGAAATAATTAGAGAATAACAAACGAGCTACGAGGCATTACGGATTATGTGTCTTAAGTGAATGAATGGTGTTAATCCCGAGCCTTTGGCGGGACTTACGATATTCATTGGGGATACATAATCCGTAATTCCGAGTTGGAGTAGGTTATTCATCACTCATTGATCACTCAAGAGGAAATGAAGAAAAAAACGCACAAAATGTCAACCTTAAAAACAAACATGTCAATTTGTGACGTATTAACAATGGGTGACGCCCTATCGTTTGTTTATAAACCATGAAGCGCAGTGACGTCATATGGCTTCAACTGACCAATCAC